TGGTGAACTTGAACCGTTGACCTTGTGGTTCAAGCCAACCTTGCTGTGCAGTGTTTTATTCCTCACCACCACGTGGTCCTTATTAGTGAACATCCGCTTTATTTTCTGTTTTCATGAAAAGCACAAGATTAATGTTCCTTAGCACTGCAAGGTTGGCAATTCAAGCTCAACAGTCGCTCCTTGGAAACCCTATACAGGGTTGCTATGGGTCAGAACTGGCTCAACAACAAGATCAACGTTCCTTTACCCTCAAAATTAAAACACTCACTGTCACAGAGTGATTCCAACTCATAGCAAATCTATAGGATGGAGTAGAGTGGCCCCATTTTAATTAAAGTAGTCTGCCACAGCTTTCTCATGCAGAGCTGCTGGTGGGTTCAATCCACTGACCTTTTGGTTAATAGCTGGACACTTAGCCACTACACCACCCAGACTGATATCTTTCCCCACTTTGTTGTTAGATGCTGTTGAATCTGTTCCGACTCATAGCGACCCTATGCACAACAGAACAAAACACTGCCCAGATCTGTGCCATCCTTACAGTTGTTTCGCTTGAGCCCATTGCTGCTGCCATAGTGCCAATCCATCTACTTGAACATCTTCCTTTTTTTCAGTGACCCTCCACTTGACCAAGCATAATGACCTTTTCCTCCTGACAGATAGTATATCTGAAGTCTGAGAGACAAACTCTGGCCATGCTAGGTTCTAAGGAGCATTCTGGTTAGACTTTTTCCAACTCAGATTTGTTTGTTCTTCTGGTAGTCCGTGATACTCTGAATATTCTTCTCCAACACCATATCTCAAATGCACCAATTTTTTTAATGGTCTTTCTTATTCCTTGTCCAACTTTCACATGCATATAAGTCTACTACTGAAAATATCATGGCTTAGGTCAGACATATTTTAGTCCTCAAACTGATGGCTTTGCTCCTGAACACTTTAAAGAGGACTTTAAAGTTGTTTGAATTCTTGACTGCTGCTTTTACAACTGTTGATTGTGGATCCAAGAAAAATGAAATCTTTGACAACTTCAATCTTCTCTCCATTCATCATGATGTGCTTTTTTTTTTTTTTTTTTTGGTCCAGTGATGAGGGTTTCCCCACTAGGCTCTGGTTAGTCCCATATGGGAAAATTCTACTATATCGTGCATATAAGAACTGTACTTATTTTTATGAAAGAACATTTGTATACTTTTGGTTCTTCATCTTGAAGATTCTTGACCTTCATTTAGTGAGAATCCATCAGAACTGGATCTATTTACCTTTAAAATGTTATTTGAAACTAGTAAGATCCATTAACACAGATACTTGGCTAGGTAGGGAAAATGAACAATATGTCTTTTGGTGTGTGAAGATTCTTCCAAAGTAATGATTGGTCTGTGTTGATAGGTTGGTTTAGCCAATGATGTAAAAGCAGTAGTTGTTTTTTGATTTAGAGATAAGTGTGCTGTGCTTTGTAGGGATGTATACATACCCAAAAGAACTCAAAGCAAGACTCTAAGATCACTGGAGAAAGGAGTCAAAGGATGGTGATGGTATTCCTTGCCATCCAGTCAACTCCCACTCCTGGTGACCTTCTGTACAACAGACCCAAACATTACCCTCACCTTAAGGGGGAACCCAAAATGCCCAATGGATTGTGGGACAAAGATAGAGTCCCTTCCTTTCTTATTTACCTTCTGTAGCACTAATCTTCCCATACCTTTTTCCTCTCAAGTCCATTAAACCCACGACTGGCTTTTGTTAAACTTCGTTGACATTCTTTTCACCTTGCCTCACTGATTTTCCATTATAACCAATAGTGATGGTGGTGATGGTGTGCCATTGAGACAGTTCCAACTCACAGAGACCAACTCACAGAGGGTTTCTGAGACTATAAATCTATAGGTGCAGAAAGCCTCGTCTTTCTCCCACGGAGCAGCTGGTAGATTCATACTGCTGACCTTGTGGTTAACAACCCAACGCGTAATCACTACACTTCTAGGCTCCATACAGTCAGTAGGATCATCCAAAGACTCATCCCCCTTGGATTCCAAAATTTGTGACTACTACTCAGCGTTTCTGGTGTGGCGCTGTGGGCTAATGCATCAGACTGCAAAGTCATTTGAACTGCAAGGTCGGTGGTTCAAGCTCACCAGCCGCTCCTTGGAAACCCTATACAGGGTCGCTATGGGTTGGAATTGACTCGACGGCACTTAACAACAACAACAACACTCAGCTCTTCTGTGAGGACCTCAGTCAGTCAGTAACTTTGCAATTCACCATCAGACCCTCGTTTGATCTGGTGGTTGTGTGTGTGGTCACTGGTCTTGTTTAGATAAGAGTCCAACTGTATCAGCTGTGCATCACGGTCAGAATTATACATGAGAAGACAAGCAATGAGTATACAAGGGAGCTTGTTGTTAGGTGCAATCAAGTTAGCTCTTTTTTTTTTTATTATTTTAAGTTTTTATTGTGAATGATGTGGGTTTACATGGGAGAACATCAGTTTTACATTCATCCTATCGTATTTCATTTCATTGCAATGATTACAATCCCATCCATGCATCAACAAACAACCAAAGTTGGTTCACCCCACAGGCCTGCCTCTTGGTAGTCAGCACACAGCCCTCTCCCTCTCTGGGTCTAGAATCCCCAGCCACTCCATATCTCCACATCATTGTCTCTGCCTCCATTTCTGGCATCACTGCTTCTCTGGGTAGGGTCCCGCACTCCGCTCTTCTCACTTGATGGTTCCAGGGACATCTGCTCCTGGACTGCAAAATCAGTCACTCCCTCCCTTTTGTTACAAACATCTACCTTTACATTTCCGACCCTCACAGTCAGTTCTGATAGCAATTATTTACTATTGTACCGCATGAGTCTTATCCCCATTTCCTTTCACCAGCCTGGTCCCAACAGATTGGAAATCATTTAGTGGAGATTCTACCTTCCCCCTCCCCGTCTGAAACTACGTTCCCTCTTGAAAGCTTGTAAGCCAGTCACTTCTTGCCTTTGTAGCCTCCTCC